ATAAGCATCTCTGGGTAGACATTGCTACTTAAATCAACAAGCCGACTCTAAATTTGTTGTTTCATTTTTCACATTAATTGGATTCAAGAGATGTGGGGGGGGGGCTTAATCCAGTATCCTTTCGCCTTACTTTCAAAATTTCCTGCCTTTACCTGACATGGCGCTGGAAACTGTTACATCAGAAATGTACATTTATGAGGTGTGAACCTTTTTATCCTGCAACAATCTCACATGAAGGAAAGTGGTTTCATATTGATAGAATTGCTTCTGGCATCCACAGTGTCATAATTAGCTATAGCTGAAGCAGGGTACCAAAATTGAAAGGGAGAGGGGAATGTCGCGTATAAGACATTAACAAGAACTAATTGATGATTACGGGCTATCAAAAGCGAATCACTGTAGACTTTGCAGCCTTTGTTCTTCCAGAGCTCATCTTCTTTATTGAGGTCTAAAACTCCGTGGCTTTTAGTTCGTAAGAGAACTATACCGACCGAGCGACCGCCGCTTATCGGAGAAGTTAGTGCCAACTTTTGCGGATAGAGGGTGTCGCGTGGTCAGCGAAACGGACACCCATGGCCGTTACTCTCGGTTTTCTAGACTGGAGTCCTTACTGAAGTATCACACTATTATATAAAAATGAGAACACAAGAAACCAGATGAATACTTTCTCATTAACGAATGTTACCGTGAATCCATTAGCTGACATGCGAAGAACAGAGACACATCCATTGACGTGACGAGGGGAAAGCGTCACAGACTTAAGAGACAGGCTACGAGGAGTGACAGGATCTTCGGGAATCCGATTTTAGGATTCGATATGCATCTCGAGAGAAATCTGCGCGTTCTAATTTCCGTAGCTGAAAGTTTAACAAGATTTCAGATGTTGTCAGTGGCTGCTTAAATCTAAAGGAGGGCTCTTCCACTTCCATTGCCCATCCTCCCCCATTTGTCAATCTTATTTCTGTTTTTCGCTCTCATCAAGCCATACAGCACAGAATTCTGAAGCACAAAATCGTCACTGGAAAAGTATCTTGGAGTGAATCAGAAAAAAAAAGCAACATGATTAATTCCTCTTTCGGTTCTGTTGTTTTGTAACTGAATTATGTGGGGTACAAAGTTTTAAAATTATATGTCTTTTGAATTATTTATCCTTCACAATTTGGGATAGATTATTTCACGAATACGAAACATTATTTACACCATAGCCTTCTACATACAAGATGAGTACAAATTATCTTCACAAAATCGGATATTTACTGTCAAATAATTAAGCGAGATAATACGTTCGAAAATTCAGAGAGAATATTACAGCTATCAACGTTTTGAATCAAAGCGTGCAAAAACAGCTGAAAATATAGGCCGCCAGGGGAACTGCAATCAGCAAAATGGTGACTAAACAAACTAACTTTATGGAGTTGAACACTTATTGAGAAGCCACCAGTCGTGCAGCTACTCAAGAACTTGCCAATATTTTATGGAGCCCGAAGGCTCATACCGTGTTCGCAAGAACCCTCCACTAGTTCCTACCCTAAGCCAGATCAATCCAGTCCATACTACCGCATCCTATCTCTCTACGATCCATTTTAATATTATCAATTCAACTACACCTTGGCCTTCCTAGTGGTCTATTTCCTTCTGGATTTCCCACCGATATCCATTCGTGCTAAATGACCTTCCCATCTCACCCTCCTTAACTTGATCATTCTAATTACACTTGAAGTCATTACTTGAGGTCATTGTTTTCAATTGACCTTTTCTTTCCGGCCGCACTATGGTCCTGGGGTCGACTCAGCCTCTAACATAAATGAGTACCAGGAATTACTTAAATAACTTTCCTGGGCAGTAAAGCGCGGCCGGCGCGTAAGGCTGACAAACTTAGCGCCATCTGTGAGTCGACTGTCTAGATAATGTGGGAACCTCAACGTCTCACAATCGTATGGACCTCCACGGTCTGTTACAGGGATAGCTTTACTTTAAGTTTTTCCTTTACTATGCATGTCACCCTGCAATTAATTGTTCTCGGTTCTTGATGCTGAAGTCTCTACACCACTGTGTCCTGCAGTAAGTAATGTGGCAACATTCTACACCCTCGTTCCACAAAATGAGGGCGATTACTATTTTTTTATGATTGCCCGCCAGCCATACTCGGTTCTCATGCGCTGAAATGATGGATGGTCGACATGA